AATGCAAAGAGGATTTCCCAGTAATTCTAGCTAGATCTCAAGGAGACAGAATTTTTAACAAGCTTTTTTTCACTCCAGGGGCCGGATTCATCATTGAATTTACCTAGGGTAAATGCGGCCACGCCCCTACCTTGGTGATGTATCGCGATTCATCATTTTTGTTACCACTACCTTAACCACAAAAAAGGGAGTATATATGTACCCATCGCTGAGGCAGGGTTTCGCAGATACCTTACCTCCTCACAACTTGAGCCATGGTGATGGGAACTGGCGCATGCTGAGAACACCGCATGACGTAATTGCGGTGAATATTAGCTGTTTCTCACTAGGCACTGAACACAAAAATTATGCGATATTTCTTATTAAATTCAATATATAAACAAAATAGGACATTCAACTTTGAAATATACATATATAGCCGCAAAGAATCTTACAAAGAGCATGAAAACCCGCAAATATTAGGCATTCGGTATATCATATCAAACAGTTGTAAAGGTATGCTTAGTTGGAAAAAAACCATCTCACGGACAAATTATACGAGTGATTAAAGTTGCGAGTTATATTTTTAAATTTTTTTTCGAGAAGAGCAGATTGCACAATAGACAAATTTTGAAATTAATCAAATGCAAGCAATTAATTCAGCTTCCAGTGGCGCCATCGAACGTTACTAAAAGGCAAGGATCAAGTTTACTGCGACCTTTCATAAAAAACCAAATGGAGTTTATGATGGAAAAATGTAGTAAAATTAACTTATGTAGTTGAACTCGAATTTCGCTAGCCTCTGGCTTAAAATGTTCGTGTCATAAAACTTCCCTTAAAATTATTGTAGAACATTTGCTGTGTACTAGTACCACAGATGGTTTTTCGTTGAAGTACCAACTTCAAAAATTTGAACAACAATCAACAAAACGCTGAAAAAATCCCATCCAACAGCACTTTTCAAAAAGAAAGTAAGAAACAAATTGAGTAGAACGTAAAAAGCCAAACCTACTATGACAGTGGCAGGGTTCAATTTCTTTTTCGAAGAATAGATTTTCGAACAGAGAACCAAAATTAGTTTGATAGTTTCTTTCATCAAGGATGAAAAAGTACTTTAAGCCCACGACTATTATTCCTCCACACACCGAAGACTAACTGCTCTCTTATCATTAATTAAAAAGTGAAAATCCATTCATCTCGCTTCGGCCAGTCAAAATCGCACACTTTTGCTTCTAAATATGTGATGGTCCCTAGAAAAAAAAATGCGAAAATATGACCTCAACGACATACACGGGGAGACGATGTTGAAAAAATACAGCACGGTACAGCAAAATTGCGTAACCGTAACGCAAGGTGAGAAATCCACGGCAAGTTAGGAACTATCAGCACCGCAAACACGTCATGAGACGTTCTCATGAAGCGCCAGTGCGCGGCGACTGGCACCAGGGTATTTCCTTACCTTGTGGGGTAAAATCTTGATGAATGCGATTTTTACCTTAAGGTTGAAAATACCTCGGGTATGTTTACCTCAGGGGGAAACAACACTTCAATTTCAATGATGAATCCGGCCCCAAATTTTCCCCATTTTCAAAATCTTGTATAGAAAGTATTTTTTCAAAAAGTTTTCATGTTTTCTATTTTTTTTCAGGAACACTTTTTTGAAGCTGTTTTTATGATAAGTCCACATGGAGCTTCAAAGTACTATGTAGACTAGAAACAATGCAAATATCTTCCTCTTCGATTTCCTAGTTTTTTTCTTTGTGGTTGATGCACAGTGATCAATATATGTAGTATTAGTAAAGATCATGTTGATACCTCAGAATCAAAACAGCTACTAACTGTGAGTCATCTTCAGTTATTCTGTCTACAACATGACTCTCAGGCGGGAATTTGACAACGATAGCATTGCTTGCAGCCTTTGAAATGACTAGGTTACTTTCCTTGGTTTAGCCAATGACGTAGTCTATGTTGATATCAACAGGACATTTGATAAGGATTCGCATAGTAGGCTTCTACGCTAATTAAAGAATGTTGGGATCCATCTATATAGCATGGATAAAGAAGTTTATATCGGATCATTTAGTAAATGTCTAGTTGTTTATTTATTTTTCAGATCCCAAGAGCTGCTGAATGGTCTCCAAAGGTGGTGTGTTTTCTCAATAACTTTACATTCATGAATTCGTACATTTAAACTTCGTTATTTTTGGGCACTAAAGTTCATTTTGTGCTTTTGCCGGTAATGTTTAAATATATAGTCCTAAGCGGAAGTTAGGAAACTGTTACAAGTTTCAAAATGCATTGGACGTTTTGCATAAGTGGCCCAAGATTGAGACTTACCTGCACCTAACGAAAAAATAAAAGTATTGCTCAGGGAAACAAAATATTGGACTAATTTGTCAAGATTGATGTGTATATAACCTGTTGGAGGTCGGTTTGACTAATATGATTGTTTCGATAATCAGTGGTAATTTTGCGACAAACACCTTAAAAAAGCCACTGCGAAAGGAACGTGTGCGAGATCCCGTTATTTCACTAAGAACCTAGTCCTACTCTTCCGCTAAGAGCTACATTTATGTCAAGCTTTCATTTAGGACTAACATGTTGAACATCAATAAAATCCGTTTATCCACTGCGAAAATACAGAACAATTTTATAAGAAACTGTTGATGAGATCGAGAAGTTTCCTACACGACCTCATACAGAAAGACCTCCCAATCAACAACAGGTTTTCTACCCAACCTCATGCAATAAGAACGGAAAGCATTACTTAAAGATCAATTCTCTCGAGTTTAGAAGGCGAAAATTTGAACTAGTTATAGCTCGAAAAGTTCAGTTCCTATTGTCAATTAAACCCAATTAAACCCAGTCAATTAAACTATTTCTTCGAGACTAGTACCTGAACAACTAGAGAGGCATAAAATTGCGTTCCAAGTACCACAAGAAAGCTATTTTTTTTAAAGAAGAATGATGCATGATTTGAATAAACTCGTGAGAAAACAATATCGCCTAACTCTCATTATTTAAAGTATTCTGAACAACCATCTACTTTCTTCATTAGCGCTATTTAGTTTTTGCATTGTACTATTATTACTTGTTTCGCTGTTTCAATGAAGCATAATGTGTGACTGCCATAAAGGTCTCTCTTATGTGG